GAAGGGATGGGGACACGTGGGAGGGATGGCGACCTGGAGGAGGGATGGGGACACAGGGATGGGGACACAGGGAAGGGATGAGAATGCTGGGGGAGGACTGGAGGCAATGGGGAGGAAGGGGAATGCTGTGGAGGGATGGAGATCCTTGGGGTGGGATGGGCCCATTGAAGGGATGGGGATCCTTAGGGAGGAATGGGGACACAGGGGAGGGATGGGGATTCCAGAGAGGGATGGGAGCCTTGGGGAAGGACACGGGTTTGAAGGAGGGATGGGGACCCTTGGGGTGGGCTGGGGGACACTGAGGAGGGATTCTCCACTTCCCAGCCCAATTCCCAAGCCCCCAGGGTTCAGGGGAGCAGCCGGGGGGTGTAGGGGGGGGTGATGTCCCCCGCAGCCCCCACCCCACGTGCGTGAGCCCTCCCCGGTGTGGGGCAGGCGCTGCAGAGCATCGGCAACCTGGGGCTGCAGCTGGGGCAGGGCGAGGGACAAGGATCCCAGAGAGGAATGGGGACCCTGGGAAAGGACATGGGTCTGCAGGAGGGTTGGGGACCCTTGGGGTGGGATGGGGGACACTGAGGAGGGATTCTCCACTTCCCAGCCCAATTCCCAAGTCCCCAGGGTTCAGGGGAGCAGCCGGGGGGTGTAGGGGGGGGTGGTGTCCCCCGCAGCCCCCACCCCATGTGCGTGAGCCCTCCCCGGTGTGGGGCAGGCGCTGCAGAGCATCGGCAACCTGGGGCTGCAGCTGGGGCAGGGCAAGGAGCCGTGGATGGCCCCGCTGCACGCCGTCCTGCTGCCCAGTGTCACCCGCGTCAGAGCCTTCCTGGACGGACTGGTGGAGGTGGAGAGCGCCGAGGGTGAGGGGGCACCACAGGGGACACAGGGGGTGGCATCACCCCCACTGTCCCCGACATCCTGGGGGCATCCCTGGAGAGGGGGACACACTCGGTGCCATGAGGATGCTGCCAGGGTGGTTGTAGGGGGGGGTGGTGTCCCCCGCAGCCCCCACCCCATGTGCGTGAGCCCTCCCCGGTGTGGGGCAGGCGCTGCAGAGCATCGGCAACCTGGGGCTGCAGCTGGGGCAGGGCAAGGAGCCGTGGATGGCCCCGCTGCACGCCGTCCTGCTGCCCAGTGTCACCCGCGTCAGAGCCTTCCTGGACGGACTGGTGGAGGTGGAGAGCGCCGAGGGTGAGGGGGCACCACAGGGGACACAGGGGGTGGCATCACCCCCACTGTCCCCGACATCCTGGGGGCATCCCTGGAGAGGGGGACACACTCGGTGCCATGAGGATGCTGCCAGGGTGGTTGGGGATGGGCATCCTGGGGCTGGGGGTGGTGGTGGCACTGGAGGTGGAGGTGGAGAGCGCTGAGGGTGAGGGGACACCACAGGGGACACAGGGGGTGGCATCACCCCCGCTGTCCCCAACACCCTGGGGGCTTCCCCGGGGAGGGGGACACGCTCGGTGCCATGAGGATGCTGCCAGGGTGGTTGGGGACGGGCATCCTGGGGCTGGGGGTGGTGGTGGCACTGGAGGTGACACCACTCCCTCCTTGTCTGGCTGTACCACGGGGGTGGCACGTGCCACCAGTGCTTCTCCACCCCTCAGCCAGCATCGAGGAGGGGTACCTGCACACCCACACAGGGGTGGCATCAACCCACTGTGCCCAATATCCTGAGAACATCTCCAAGGAGGGGGACCTCCTCGGTGCCATGAGGATGCTGCCAGGGTGGTCAGGAATGGGCATCCTCTGAGTGGGGGTGGTGGTGGCACTGGAGGTGACACCGCTGCCTTCTTGTGTGGCTGTGCCACGGGGGTGGCACGTGCCACCAGTGCTTCTCCACCCCTCGGCCACCATCGAGGAGGGGTACCTGCACACCCACACAGGGGTGGCATCAACCCACTGTGCCCAATATCCTGAGAACATCTCCAAGGAGGGGGACCTCCTCGGTGCCATGAGGATGCTGCCAGGGTGGTCAGGAATGGGCATCCTCTGAGTGGGGGTGGTGGTGGCACTGGAGGTGACACCGCTGCCTTCTTGTGTGGCTGTGCCACGGGGGTGGCACGTGCCACCAGTGCTTCTCCACCCCTCGGCCACCATCGAGGAGGGGTACCTGCACACCCGCACAGGGGTGGCATCACCCCCGCTGTCCCCAACATCTTGGGAACATCTCCAAGGAGGGGGACCTCCTCGGTGCCATGAGGATGCTGCCAGGGTGGTCGGGGATGGGCATCCTGGGGCTGGGGGCGGTGGTGGCACTGGAAGTGACACCTCTGCCTCCTTGTCTGGCTGTGCCACAGGGGTGGCACATGCCACCAGGGCTTCTCCCCCCCTCGGCCACCATCAAGGAGGGGTACCTGCACACCCGCACAGGGGTGGCATCACCCCCGCTGTCCCCATCTTGGGAACATCTCCGAGGAGGGGGACATGCTCGGTGCCGTGAGGATGCTGCCAGAGTGGTCGGGGATGGGCATCCTGGGGCTGGGGCTGGTGGTGGCACTGGAGGTGACACCTCTGCCTCCTTGTCTGGCTGACCCACAGGTTCCATGGGGACAATGGGAACGGTCCCAAATCCAGCTAAACCCAGGCACCGGCTGTACTGGGAATACTGGGGTGCCCAGCCCTTGCTGTACTGGGGTCAAGGGGGTAGCTGGGCTTTGGCTGCACTGGGAAAATTTGGGTATCCTGCCCTGGCTCTACTGGGGTCACTGGGGTACCAGCCCTGGCTGTACTGGGTTCACTGGAGTACCAGCTCTGGTATACTGGGATCCAGCTATAGCTGTACTGGTGGCACGTGCCACCAGCGCTTCTCCACCCCTTGGCCACCATCGAGGAGGGGTAGCTGCACACCCGCACAGGGGTGGCATCAACCCACTGTCCCCAACACCCTGGGGGCATCCCCGGGGAGGGGGACCTCCTTGGTGCTGTGAAGATGGTACTGGGGTCACTGGGGTACTGGCTCTGAGACACTGGGATCACTGGGGTATCCAGCTATATCTGTATTGGGGTCACTGGGGTACTGGCTCTGGGATACTGGGATGAGTAGTTTCCAGCCCTATCTGTTCTGGGGTCACTGGGGTACCAGCCCTGGCTGTACTGGGATCAGTGGGGTATCCAGCCGTATCTGTACTGGGGTACCAGCTCTGGGAGACTGGGTTCAGTAGTGTTTGCAGCCATACCTGTACTGGGATCACTGGGGTAGCAGCCCTGGGATACTGGGTTCACTGGGTTAGCAGCCCTGGGATACTGGGATCAGTAGGGTTTCCATCCATATCTGTTCTGGGGTCTCTGGGGTACCAGCCCTTTTTGTACTGGGATCACTGGGGTCCCAGCCCTACTTTTACTGGGCTCACTGGGGTACCAGGCCTGGGATACTGGGATCACGGGAGTGTCCAGCCATATTCATACTGGAGTCACTGGGGTTTCCAGCCCTATCTGTACTGGGATCACTGGGGTACCAGCCCTGGCCATACTGGGATCACTGAGGATTCCAGCCCTATCTGTACTGGGGTCACTGGGGTACCAGCCCTTTCTGTACTGGGATCTCTGAGGTTCTAGCCACATCTGTACTGGGGTCACTGGGGTACCAGCCCTGGCCATACTGGGATCACTGAGGATTCCAGCCCTATCTGTACTGGGGTCACTGGGGTACCAGCCCTTTCTGTACTGGGATCTCTGAGGTTCTAGCCCTATCTGTACTGGGGTCACTGGAGTACCAGCCCTGGCCATACTGGGATCAGTAGGGTTTCCAGCCCTATCTGTACTGGGGTCACTGGGGTGCCAGCCCTGGCCATACTGGGATCACTGAGGCTCTAGCCCTATCTGTACTGGGGTCACTGGGGTACCAGCCCTGGCCATACTGGAATCAGTAGGGTTTCCAGCCCTATCTGTACTGGGGTCACGGGGGTACCAGTGGAGGTGGAGAGCGCTGAGGGGGAGGGGACACCACAGGGGACACAGGGGGTGGCATCACCCCCACTGTCCCCGACATCCTGGGGGCATCCCTGGAGAGGGGGACACACTCGGTGCCATGAGGATGCTGCCAGGGTGGTCAGGAATGGGCATCCTCTGAGTGGGGGTGGTGGTGGCACTGGAGGTGACACCGCTGCCTTCTTGTGTGGCTGTGCCACGGGGGTGGCACGTGCCACCAGTGCTTCTCCACCCCTCGGCCACCATCGAGGAGGGGTACCTGCACACCCACACAGGGGTGGCATCAACCCACTGTGCCCAATATCCTGAGAACATCTCCAAGGAGGGGGACCTCCTCGGTGCCATGAGGATGCTGCCAGGGTGGTCAGGAATGGGCATCCTCTGAGTGGGGGTGGTGGTGGCACTGGAGGTGACACCGCTGCCTTCTTGTGTGGCTGTGCCACGGGGGTGGCACGTGCCACCAGTGCTTCTCCACCCCTCGGCCACCATCGAGGAGGGGTACCTGCACACCCGCACAGGGGTGGCATCACCCCCGCTGTCCCCAACATCTTGGGAACATCTCCAAGGAGGGGGACCTCCTCGGTGCCATGAGGATGCTGCCAGAGTGGTCGAGGACAGGCATCCTGGGGCTGGGGGTGGTGGTGGCACTGGAGGTGACACCTCTGCCTCCTTGTCTGGCTGTGCCACGGGTGACAGCGGGCGAGGGCCAGGTGCCACCAGCGCTTCTCCACCCCTCGGCCACCATCAAGGAGGGGTACCTGCACACCCACACAGGGGTGGCATCACCCCCGCTGTCCCCAACATCTTGGGAACATCTCCAAGGAGGGTGACCTCCTCAGTACCATGAGGATGCTGCCAGGGTGGTTGGGGATGGGCATCCTGGGGCTGGGGGTGGTGGTGGCTCTGGAGGTGACACCTCTGCCTCCTTGTCTGGCTGTGCCACGGGTGACAGCAGGAGAGGACCAGGTGCCACCAGCGCTTCTCCCCTCCTCGGCCACCATCAAGGAGGGGTACCTGCACACCCGCACGGCGGGGGGGGCCACCCTGCTGCCCCGCTTGGCCTTCAAGAAGAGGTACTTCTGGCTCAGCGCCGAGGCCCTGACCTACTCCAAGTCCCCCGAGTGGCAGGTGGGTGCCCCCCAATCACCCCCCAACCCCACGGCGGGTGCCCGGGGGAGGGTCTGGTGGGGTGGGGGGTGTGTGCATTGAGCTGGGGGGGGGATGTGTGTGTTTTGGGGTGTTCCCCCAGGCGCGCTGCTCCATCCCGGTGCGGCGGATGCGGGCGGTGGAGCGGGTGGACGAGGGCACCTTCCAGCACCCCCACGTCATGCAGATCGTGGCGCAGGATGGCACCGGGCAGCTCCACACCACCTACATCCAGTGCAAGGTGGGTGCCCACCCCGGGGTAGCTGGGCTTTGGCTGCACTGGGAAAATTTGGGTATCCTGCCCTGGCTCTACTGGGGTCACTGGGGTACCAGCCCTGGCTGTACTGGGTTCACTGGAGTACCAGCTCTGGTATACTGGGATCCAGCTATAGCTGTACTGGGGTCACTGGGGTACCAGCCCTTTCTGTACTGGGGTCACTGTGGTACCAGCCCTTTCTGTACTGGGATCACTTGGGTCCCAGCCCTACTTTTACTGGGCTCACTGGGGTACCAGCCCTGGGATACTGGGATCACAGGAGTGTCCAGCCATATTTGTACTGGAGTCACTGAGGTACCAGCTCTGGGATACTGGGATCACTGGGGTTTCCAGCCCTATCTGTACTGGGGTCACTGGGGTACCAGCTCTGGCTGTACTGGGGTCACTGGGGTACCAGCTCTGGGATACTGGGATCCAGCTATAGCTGTACTGGGGTCACTGGGGTACCAGCCCTGGCTGTACTGGGGTCACTGGGGTACCAGCTCTGGTATACTGGGATCCAGCTATAGCTGTACTGGGGTCACTGGGGTACCAGCCCTGGCTGTACTGGGTTCACTGGGGCAGCAGCCCTGGGATACTGGGATCAGTAAGGTTTCCATCCATATCTGTTCTGGGGTCTCTGGGGTACCAGCCCTTTCCATACTGGGATCTCTGGGGTTCTAGCCCTATCTGTACTGGGGTCACTGGGGTACCAGCCCTTTCTGTACTGGGATCACTGGGGTTTCCAGCCATGTCTTTTCTGGGGTCACTGGGGTACCAGCTCTGGCCATACTGGGATCTCTGAGGTTCTAGCCCTATCTGTACTGGGGTCACTGGGGTACCAGCCCTTTCTGTACTGGGATCACAGGAGTGTCCAGCCATATTCGTACTGGAGTCACTGGGGTACCTGCCCTTCCCATACTGGGATCACTGAGGTTCTAGCCCTATCTGTACTGGGGTCACTGGGGTACCAGCCCTGGCCATACTGGAATCAGTAGGGTTTCCAGCCCTATCTGTACTGGGGTCACTGGGGTACCAGCCCTGGCCATACTGGGATCACCGAGGATTCCAGCCCTATCTGTACTGGGGTCACTGGGGTACCAGCCCTTGTACTGGAGTCACTGAGGTACCAGCTCTGGGATACTGGGATCACTGGGGTTTCCAGCCATGTCTTTTCTGGGGTCACTGGGGTACCAGCTCTGGCCATACTGGGATCTCTGAGGTTCTAGCCCTATCTGTACTGGGGTCACTGGGGTACCAGCCCTTTCTGTACTGGGATCACAGGAGTGTCCAGCCATATTCGTACTGGAGTCACTGGGGTACCTGCCCTTCCCATACTGGGATCACTGAGGTTCTAGCCCTATCTGTACTGGGGTCACTGGGGTACCAGCCCTGGCCATACTGGAATCAGTAGGGTTTCCAGCCCTATCTGTACTGGGGTCACTGGGGTACCAGCCCTGGCCATACTGGGATCACCGAGGATTCCAGCCCTATCTGTACTGGGGTCACTGGGGTACCAGCCCTGGCCATACTGGGATCACCGAGGATTCCAGCCCTATCTGTACTGGGATCACTGGGGTTCTAGCCCTATCTGTACTGGGGTCACTGGGGTACCAGCCCTTCCCATACTGGGATCACTGGTGTTTCCAGCCCTATTTGCAGTGGGATCACTGGGGTACCCTGGTTCCTGCGGTGCCACCTCCCCACCAAGCCCCACCTGGGCAGCTTTGCCATCACCCCCAGTCACCAGGCCGCGGTGCCCACCACCATCCCCAGTGGGTGACCCCATCATCGCCTGTGCCCCATCTCCTGCCGGTGCCCGTGGGTGGGTGCCCGCCGAGGTGCCACCCCCCCTGCCTGTCCCCGCAGAGCGCCCAGGAGCTGTGGCAGTGGCTGTGGGCCCTGCGGCAGGCCAGCAGCGCCAACGAAGCCATGCTGCCCACTTGCCACCCGGGCACCTTCCGTGCCGGCCGCTGGACCTGCTGCCTGCAGCCCGCCTGCTCCGGTAAGGCCAGCGTGGGCACCCTGGGGTGGGGGTCCCCCAAGAAAGGGGTGTGGGCATCCCACCCCACCCCCCTCTTCTCCCCATCACCCTGTGGTTGGCAGCGCCCGGGTGCAGCCGGACCCACAGCACGGTGGCCTTGGGCGAGTGGAGTGACCCCCTGGACCCCGCGGCGGCGGCACAGACCCTCTACGGGCACCTCCGGAGGGTGGGCACCCGGCTGAGGTGAGGTGTGTCCCCCCCAGCACGGGGGTCCCGGGGGACCCTGGGTGGCAGGGGGCAGGGTGGGAGCGAGCTGAGGGTCCCTGTCCCGCAGGGCGGCGGGGGCCGGGGGTCCCCAGGGCAGCGCGGAGACCGACCCCCCCGGCGTGGGGCAGGCAGGTAGGGACAGCCCTGTGGGGGGGCAGGGGGGGGACGGGGACACTGCACCCCAGGGTGCTGCTGGGGGGACCCTGACCCTACGTGGGGCAGCTGGCACACGTGGGCACACCTGCAGACGCTTGCACACACGTGCACACGCGTGCACATAGTTGCACAGGCATGCACAGGTATGCACACGCTTGCACACACATGTACAAGCATGCACATTCTTGCACATACTTGCACAGATATGCACATGCCTGCACACACATGCACATACTTGCACAAGCATGCACACACATGTGCACAAAGACATGCGCAGGCATGCACATGGTTGTACAAACATGCACATGCTTGCACATACTTGCACACACATTAATAGATAAGCACATGCCTGCACATGCTTGCACACACATGAGTTGCACAGGCATGCACACACTTGTATGGGCATGCACAGGTATGCACATGCCTGCACATGCTTGCACACACATGCACACGCTTGTACAAGCATACACGTTCTTGCACATACTTACACACGCATGAACAGATATGCACTTGCCTGCACACACATGCACACGCTTGTACAAGCATGCACGTTCTTGCACATACTTGCACACGCATGCACATGCATGTGCACAAAGACATGCGCAGGCATGCACATGGTTGTACACACATGCACTTGCCTGCACACACATGCACATACTTGCACAAGCGTGCGTGTGCTTGTACACACATGCACGTGTTTGCATACGCTTGCACCCACAAGCACATAGTTGCACAAGCATGCACATGCATGTGCACAAAGACATGCACCTGGTTGTACACACGTGCACGTGCTTGCGCATGCATGAATAGATATGCCTGCACACACTTGCACACACATGCACACGCTTGTACAAGCATGCATGTTCTTGCACACACTTGCACAGATATGCACATGCCTGCACACCCATGCACATGCTTGCACATATTTGCACATGCATGAACAGATATGCACACACATGCACATACTTGCACAAGCATGCATGTGCTTGTACACGCACATGTTTGCATACACTTGCACCCACAAGCACATACTTGTGCAAGCATGCACATGCATGTGCACAAACACATGCGCAGGCATGCACATGGTTGTACACGCATGCACATGCTTGCACATACTTGCACACGTATGAATAGATATGCACATGCCTGCACACACATGCACATACTTGCACAAGCATGCATGTGCTTGTACACGCACATGTTTGCATACACTTGCACCCACAAGCACATACTTGTGCAAGCATGCACATGCATGTGCACAAACACATGCGCAGGCATGCACATGGTTGTACACGCATGCACATGCTTGCACATACTTGCACACGTATGAATAGATATGCACATGCCTGCACACACATGCACATGCTTGCACAAGCATGCACGTGCTTGCACACACATGCACATTTTGCACACACAAGCACATACTTGCACATGTGTGTGCACATTCACATTCACAGGAATGCACATGCACACACACCTGCAGATGCTTGCACATGCTTGCACACTCATGCACAACTTGCACACACATGCACATACTTGCACAGGCATGTATGCGCATGTACACACATGCACATGCACTTGCACAGGCATGCACATGCATGCAGACGCTTGCACACACATGCAGACGCTTGCACAAACATACACACACATGCTCATACTTGCACAGGTGTGTGTACGCATGCACACACACACCTGCACATGCACGGACACACATCCACAGGCGTGCACACGCTTGCACACGCTTGCACACGCACGTACACGCTGTGCCAACAGGCCAGCACTCTGCTGGTTCCCTCCACCAGGGGACACCAAATACACGCGGCCAAGGCCACGGGGACACGGGCCCAGCCGGACACACACGCCCAGACACACGCGTGTGCAGAGGCGGGTGGGTGCACCCACACCTTGGCACCTCACACGGGTGCCCACAGCACACCCGGCACACGCACACACCCCCACGGGTACACCCACACCCCCCCGTTCCCCACGCACACGCACCCACCCACTCACACGCCCCCATGTACACACACACACACCCCCCCCCGGCAGTGCCTGGCCGTGTGCGTGGGTGGGGGGACACGGGGGGGGACGTGGTGGTCTGGGGGTGGATGGTGTCCGGGGTGCCGGATGTGGGTGTC